TTCCTTATAAGGCTATTTTTAAACATTAGTGCTTCGTATGTGATATACGTATATATTACCACGTAAACTAAAACATATTACCAGGGAGTCTCGATCAAAGCATATTTCGTATGTAAAAGGACATAAAACATACATTTTTTTTTTTAGATATATTTCACAAAATATTTCATCATAAATCACGGTGATATAATATTTTCCTGATATTGGCATAAAAGTGTTCCTTGCACATTCACGAACTCATATCTATGCGCAATGTCATAATTAAATGCCTTATGCACGATTGCCGCAAGCAAAAGTCCACATAGGTGTACCTGGGCGCTCATTAGCGACGTATCTCTCCGGGTGCTGAGGGACTCGTACGCCGGCTGCAAGACAACGAGCCATAGCAGGCGGTTAATACTCGTTTGGTAGTTTCCTCATCCATGTACCTATACTATACGCTAACTATCTTAATTTAACCCCCTCCCCCCCCCTCTCTCAGGACGGTCCCCTATAACCCAAGCCAACTTGGGTTACGATTGGCCCTATAAGAGGTCATTAGTAGGTACCAATAATTGTGCACCATGGGTATGACTGCCAGAACTCTTTTGTGCAATTTACAGTGAAAGACTTGATTATTAACTTCTGAGATCATAAGTGTATCCCTGTGTATGTCATATTTTTCCCAAGGGGACCAGATTTACGCCCCTCCCCTTTAGAACCACTGTTGTAAGTGATACAATTTGTCCTTTTGTATTTTTTATAATAGCAACATTGTATTATATTCCTTCACAGGGAACAATGAGTTGGTGTTTATCAACTTCTATGCAGACTGGTGCCGCTTCAGCAACATATTAGCTCCAACTTGGGATGAGACGGCAGACAAAGTAAAGGAAGCATTCCCAGATGAAGGCAGGGTGGTCATTGGGAAGGTGGACTGTGATGCCCAGTGTGAGTGGCCATATTTTTACTTGCAAGATTTAGAATATTTATAACATTGCTATTGAATTGAAGAGATTCTAAATTCTTGAGTAAATATAAGGAGTTTGGTATTTTATGGGCTTTTTTTTTCGTTTCTTTTGCTTTTGCTTTTCCTTCCTTCCTTCTTCTTGTATAATCCACCTTCATGATTACCCATGTATTCCATGAAATAATATTTTGATAGAAAGAGAAAGGAAGGAAGGTGTGGAAGGTGTGCCAAAACTGCTTTTGGTGGGGTAATGTAAATTGAGTGTTGTTGCTTAAATTCAAGAGCAGCTATCCCTTGCCCACATGAGCAAGTTATAGCTGCATTTGCTTTGATTAATTTTGGAAATTTCCCTGTCATCTAGGGCATAAAACAAGGAACCCTAATGTATAACTTCTAGAGCTCCTACCATCTTTCACATTAATTTTTGCATTTATTATATTTCATTTGATTTTATTGCATTTGTATCACCTGCTTATTCTTGATGGGTTTCTCTTTTTGAGTTTTCTCAGTTGATTTGTCTTTTCACTCAAGAGCATATGTCTTATAATTTTTTGTATAATGATTGTCCAAGGTTCACCATTCCTGTTGCATAATGTATGTAATATAAATATTTAAATTCCCAAGCCAGAGAAACTCATCAATTCTCAAATATAAATAGATGTTTTATAAGTTTCAATATTGTATCAATGTCATGTTGGTAAATAATTAAAGGCAAGAAGTAGAAGATAGTTTTCAAAATCGTAGAGATGCAAACCTCTGGTAAGTGTAGATCCGGAATGTGTTTGCTGGATCTGTTATTTAGGTATGTGCTATTCCTTCTTATTGTTATTAGCATTATCTTATCCCCTTGACATTTCAGCAAGCATTGCTTCAAGATTCCACATCACTAAGTATCCAACCCTGAAGCTTCTCAGAAATGGTCAGGCATCAAAGAGGGAATACCGAGGGCAACGCTCTGCTGAGGCTTTTGCATCGTTCATTAAGGAGCAGCTGAAGGACCCTATTAAAGAGATTCAGAGTTTGAATGAATTAAATGATATTGAGGTAAGGTTTATTTAATGTTATAGAGCTGAAAGTGTGTTTTTAGGCTTTGTTGGTTTTATTTATAAAATTTAACCCACTTATCCTGGATAGCAAAGGTAAATGCCATGTCTACTATGATTATAGTTTATTTTATTAAGTATGGTTTTCAGTTTAGTTCTCTCAAAAAAAAGAAAGAAAAAAATAAAGAAATTAAGATTCAAATTTCAAAATAGGTGAGTTTGAAGGTCACCAGCAAGTGGAATAAAAGGTTGTGTGTTTGAAAAGTTTGCAGTAAACCTTCAGAGGATGTGAAGGTTAATGTCATGGCTGACTTGGGCACAGCTCCAGGTTCTAGGTTATTATTGTTATGATGATGCATGCATTCCATTTTATGCTCTTCCAGTTTAACTCTTAAAGTATGACATATAAAAGGGAAATTCTAAAGCAGGGGAAAAAGCAGCTAGTATACAACTGCATAAAAGAGAAAATAAATATATATTTTTTTTAATTTTTTTTTTTATCTCATTAAAATCATGTTCCATTTTGCACATAAAGTGTAATATACCTCACTTCAATACTTATTAAAACCACACTCCATATAGTTCACAGAATGTAATATAACTCACTTAATGAAATGGACTCTAATGTGCACACTTAGGCTACTACAGGTTTGATCTAACAACTAGAATGCATATCATCCATATCTGAATATGCAGGAACAGTAAAATCATATTTTGCGTTTAACTCCTACAATCCAGAAGATGTTACGGTCCCAACATGAAAAAATCTGGGTTAAGGGCTGGGTGAAATGTATATGCTGTCATCCAGTAAAATGGCCACGGGCCAGGTGACGCGAACTAGCTATCATGAGCGCCAGTGTGACGGAAAAGACTTGCCATAAGTACACAAACTTCTTGGAGTGTGATTTGACTCATTTGGCACTCAGAAGGGGACTTTAACATTATTCCCATCAATAAACAAATGTGGAATGTAAATTGCATAAGTTGTGACTGGAAGAGTGCTGCCTCCAGGGAGGAACCCATTTCCATACTGCACACCATATTCCTGGCAGCTATGACTGGCGGAGGTACAGAGTCTTGTTACCGCTCATGGGTGTTCACGCACCGCACGCCCAGGAAGTTGGCTGCATACATAGCCCAGTGCCTATATTTTTGGCACAGTGATTTCCATTATGCAACCGGATCCAAACATATTATTTTGGTGTGTTTTTTTGTTTCTTTTGTTTTGTTGTGTTTTGTTTTTCCTCATAATCAACTTTCTGTCACACAACTGATTGGTGGGGAGGAAAAGGATTGTGAGCACAGAAATAGCATCCTCCCTGGAAATGGCATTCTTCCAGTTATGACTCACAGAGAGTACATTCTATACTTATTTAGCAATGGAAATATTGCAAGAGCCCCTTTCTAAATGCCCACTGAGTCTAAGTGCCCTTCAAAAGCTTCATGCAATCACTGCAAGCAGAAGAGTATCAAGGAAGGTGAATAAATTTTAGTAATAGTTTAGATTTAAACTTTGCTTTCTTTGTGTGTGTCATACTTCAAGACAGTCACACTGGCAGTGCACCAAAGGTCAGTCTGTGTAGTGGACTTGAGGAGAGTGATTATGTAAACTAGAGTGAAGGTTATGCATACATTTACAACAGCAGCATGAGAGCACAATTTTTTGGTGTGTGACATCTTCCTTGGATAGCAGGGAGATTATTCATGTGCTAAGTATTACCCCTTTTATACAAAACAGATTAGAGCATTTCATATCTTGGTCTTTCACAGGCAATGCCCAAGGGTATGTGATGGGTGGTTATGAGGGTATAATATAAAAAAAAACAGCATCATAAAAAGGTACTACATGCCTCATAGTAATATGACATAAATGACCCATTTGTGGGTAATTGCAGCTTATTAGTTTTGTTTACACATTGACAGCTCCAAAAGTGCTATGTCACTACAGAGTCAGGTACTAGACCTACCTCTCTCTACCCATTTTCTTGATTTTCAGATTTTTTGTTTTGTTTTATTACTATTGATATTAGGATAATCATAATATCAGTAATGATAGTGGTAATATAATATTACTGACAGAAATAGTACTAGCAAAACAAGTTAAAAAAATAAAATCCAGGAATGGGATAATCACAAGACACAAGGTAGCGCATTTAGGTGTGTGTGACTCCATTTATTGAGTGTTTATGGAGCCATGTGTGTGTAAACAAAATCCACACAAAAAAACTAAAATGGACAGTGCATGTTCCAGGTACTAATGGGCTACATGATTCAAGATGTTTTTTCCAGTTATGAAGTTTACCTTTTTTTGTTTTAGGATTTTTTTCTCAGCTTTCTTTCTTCATGTTTTGTGCATATTTACTTTTTTTTTTTTTTTTTTTTTTTTTTTCAACAAATGATGGTGTTCCTGCAGTCATTGTCTCATATTTCTTTTTTTCTGTTTTGTCAAGGCTTGTTTTTAAGCAATCAGAATAGCTGAAATATTGATTAATGAATCTCAGTACTTTAACAATATGCACAACAAAGAAATAGTTTACATAATTTTAGAGACTGTTCACATGTATGAGAAATATTTAGGATCATTTGTCATATGATAGCATGTCACCAAAATGTTCATATGCAGCTCATGAGATTTTCACTCCCAAAGGCCATGTGTATTTTGACATGACCTTTTAGAGTTAGAATGAAAAATAGAATGTTCAGATCAGATATAGGTTACATCACTACCTCCCCCTATGTGTATTAATGCTAACTTGCATACCACTTACATAAAGGTTAAAAAAGGCATGATTATTACACATGTAATTAGCTACAGTTGTTTAGAGGAAAAAGTTCTTTTTTGCCTAAATTCTCATACTGGGTGCAAGCCACACTGGGGTGCTTTAAGCAGTACCTAGAGGTACTGCAAGATTCCATAGTAAAATAAGTTTTGTTGTTTTAGCATTTAACATGTGCTTATTTCATTTTAATATCCAGTAATTTTATAAACTGGTAAAGGTTCACTATGCTATGATGTGGGTATATGGAAGGAAGTAAAGAAAAGGGGGGGGGGGGCACAGAAAGGATTATGTTAGTTTCAGGTGCCATTACAGAGAATTTTTTAGGAATGAATCATTGATCTAAAAGTACAGTAGTTAGGTACTGTTAAAAGTTAATGTTTTCCATTCTAGATGTACATTTGAGTTCTATCATAAAACTTATTTTCAGGAGACAAAAAGGACTGTGATTGGTTACTTTGAAAACAAAGATGTCCCTGAGTATGAAGTGTTCCGCAAAGTGGCAACTAACCTGAAGGAGGACTGCCAGTTCCTGGCAGGTTTTGGGTATGTAGCCCTAATTATTTTCTATCACTAAAATGGGAATAGGATCAAACAAAAATAAAATGTCAGAAACATAGTGAAATAAGGTGTGAAAGGGTGGGACATATCATACAAGTGTGAAATGGTGGTTATGGTGATTACACAGTAAACAACTAGATGGCTATGTTGGCATTCAGCTCGGGTTTCATCTTATGGGTATGCAGGGATTCTAGGATGAGGAGATCGAGTCTGTTAGATGTGGAAGACAGCTGTTAGATGTGGAAGACAGAATTTTAAAATCACTGTGAGTGAAAGGATGGTCTTCTGTTTGTGAATGATGGCGGGTAGCGGAGAAAGATGGTCTGCTCAGAGGTAGGCTGGTTCTTATTTACTTACCCATGTGTTCAAGTATTCTATGTTTGAACCATCGTGTAAATGATCCAATGTACCTAGCATTGCATCTAGGACAGTTATAAATATACACAATATTTGAACATAATTCTGAGGGCTGAAGCATCTTCATTTTAAAGAAAGAGTTGATATTATAGGAGTTCACAAAAACAATGTTGAATTTAATTTGTTGTGAATATGGTATATATACATATATATATATATATATATATATATATATATATTATATATATTTATATATAATATATATATATATAATATACTATTATATATATATATTATATATATACATATATATATATATATATATATATTCTATATACATATTATATAGAGAGTAGATAGAATAGATAGATAGTAGATTAGATAGATAGATAGATATATATATGATATTATATATATATATATATATATATATATATATATATTATATATATTATATATGATATATT